GGCCAGAATGCCCCCGGGGTTCCCCCGCGAGCCCTTAAGAACGCGCCGGGTTCTGCTCCGGGCCTCGGCTTTTCCTTGGGGCGCCGCCGAGCCCCCCCCCCCCAGGGATTTTCGGGGCACCGGCCCCCCCGCGCCCAAGCCTCCCGCGGGCGCCGCCCCGCTACAAAGGGGCCGCACCGCGCGCGGCAATTGGCTGGCGAGAGGGCGAGGGGCGGGGATTCTCTGGACGCACCGCCCAACCAGCCTGTGCGTCGTAGCGCGCGCTGTGATTGGAGAGCACTCGGGTGTGGGGCGGGTTTCTCTGCCACCCCGCGTTTTCTGGGCATGAATGGGCTCCCGGCTGGGTTGTGAGCCAGTCTAAGGGGTGCTGTGCGGCCAGTCCAGCCTCCTCACTGGGCTCGGGGTTCTGAGCGCACTCTGAGCGGGCCACACCGCTGACCATCAGGCTCCTGGTGGGGGAATTGCTGGGCTGGTGCCTTATCGGAGGGAGGGTGGGGGGTGTCAGCCTCCAAGGGTTGTTTTCCAAGAAAGCTCATTTGTGGTCTATTTTGTCAGGCATCATTTGACATTAAATTAAAATAAAATGAAAACCCGAAGTAGGGTACGAATTCAAAATGAATACTTAAGGGCTGGTTAAACAAACATTTGAACCCCCTAGGCTGCAAGTCTTTAAGAAAGCTTTTATTGAGCCTGGCCTGCGGGGCTCAGGGGTTGAGCATCCACCTAAGAACCAGGAGGTCACGGTTCTATTTCTGGTCAGAGCACACGCCTGGGTTATGGGCTTGATCCCCAGTGAGCATGATTCTCTCTCATCGTTGATATTTCTATCTCTCTCTCCTCCCTTCCTCTCTTAAATTAATAAATATAAATATAAGGGGAAAAACTTTTTATTGAGCCAAAAACGCTAGCCAAAAAGAAAGAATATAAAAGGACATGGAAGACAATATGTCCATTGTGTAGGAGTTTGCAAGCATTTTTATACATCAAACAGGTGAAAGGAGGAGAAAGATGCAAGCTGTCTGAAAGAATTTACATTGGCAAAGGGTTGGGAAAAAGTACAGCCAGGCTAGGTCTGGGTAGAGGCACAGAATCCACAAAAATAAATGTCCACTCTTGTGGAATGGCAGTAGGGTGAGGTGGGGTGGGATGGGGTGGGGTGGGGTGGGGTGGGGTGACGTGGGTCGTATGGGGTGGTGAGGAGTGGAGTGGGGTGAGGTGGAGTGGGTGGTGTGGGGTAGGGTGAGGTGGGATGGGATGGGGTGGTGTGGAGTGGGATGCGGTGGGTGGGGTGAGGTGGAGGTGTGAGGGAGGGAGGGAAGCAGGGGAAGAGAGAATGCCAAAGAACCTAGTTAGTGAATGACACTGGGCATGGGTATTATTCTGAATGTTCTTAATTTCTTTTCCCCCCAACACTACACATACACACACACACACACACACACACACACACACACACACACAAAACCTGTGTGGAGTGAAAGGAAGGTCACCACAGGAGAACGAGAACTACTGCTTGACTGTAAGCCTTGGTACTAGGCCGCTGGGCGCCCCACACTTGCAATTGGCAGAGACTCAAACCAGAGGCCAGGGGAGGAGTGGAAGGAAGTTTTATGGTGGTCGCCCTGTGTCTGGGGAAGTGGGGCTGGCAGCCGAGAAGAGGAGGGGCCTCCGACATATCCGATGAGGGGGAGCATATTGCCTTTTCTCCTATCGGATCCAAGTTTGGGGATTGTCTGGGTGGGGTGCTCTGGGGGCGGGGCAGCAAAAATAAGAGGGAGACCTTCGGGTCCATCCTGATCAGGACTTTCGGGCATGCCCACGGGGTTAGTGGCCACCAGAAGTGTGTTTGTGGCTCCAGCCAGGAACCCCTCCTTCGTCACTTCACCTAATACCCGCCCAGGATGGGGAGAATGCATGTGTTTAACCAGGACCACAGAGGTCGGAATGGCTTATTCGTGTGTCTCCATTTCCACAGGACACAGGAGTCAATATTGTAAAAGTGATGCAACCTGCATTTTTCATGTCTGTTGAAAGAAGTTTCTGTTTCAGGTACTGCTATGTGTTATTTATAAACTAGAGGCCTGGTGCACGGGTCCCTCAGCCTGGCCTGTGCCCTATCGCAATCCAGGCCCCCTCAGGGGATGTAGTAGTGCTCCAAGTGGCAGGAGGCCGGGGAGGAGCCTGAGCCCAGGCCTGGCGTCGCCCTGCTTCCACTCATCCTGCCCCATTGCTCCTGCCGCAGGCTCACGCCCAGTCAGTCCAGATGGGGAGAGGCTCCTGCCTCTGCAGTGGCACCAGCCGTGAGCCCAGCGTTTGGCACCTGTTGGTTAGCTGAGCTGCACTCCTGCTGTGAG